CTCAGGTTTCTCCGAAATTCGGAGTAAATCGTTCTTATCTTTTCTCAAATTACGAGTAAACCGTTCTTGATTTTGTTCAAAATCGGAGTAAATCACTCTCCGAGTTTCTCCAAAATTGGGAGTAAAGTGCCCATGACTTCCTCCAAAACGAGAGTAAATGGGTCTTGATTTTGTTTAACATCGGAGTAAATCACTTTCGGAGTTTCTCCGAAATGAGAGTAAATCGTTCATATTTTTTTTACAAACTGGGAGTAAATTTGACCAAATTTTTGAAAAAAGTATGGGGCAGTAAACTCCCCCGAAAACTGAGGAGCAGCGCAGCTTTTTCGAGTATCTCATTTGTAATCGATGTATCATATTTTGCTCGAACTTTTTTTGAGAACACTGCAATCAAGGCAGCACACAGCAATTTCCACAGTATGTCTTTACTCTAAGTTATCTTTAATTTTTCAGTTACGAAGTTATAAAAAATATTTTAAAAACTTTCATACTCGGATTTCTTTAAGTTTTTCTCCCGTGTATTTCTCAGCTTGAATCCGACAGGTGACTGGACTTTTATCTCAAAACAAAAGTGAGTTTAAGGTTGAGATCTTTAGGTTGAGATCTTCAGGTTGAGATCTTTATGCCTGTGAGCTTCACCGTTAAAGTAACGTTTGTCATATGTGAAGAAACCAATCAAGCTTGGACTTTCAGAGAATGTATACCCGTGGATATTATCCTTAGGATCAGTTCGTTGCTGGAGCCAATCTAGCATCCTGTAATGAGGTGGAATGTCTTGCGCCCCAGTCTTCTATGTGTTAATCAGGACCTAACTAATCGCTGCTACATCCTCAAAGTCACCAACGACAAAGCGAGCTTACACCGAAGATGCTCACAGTTGTGATAACAGCAACCTTTTACATTCATTTCTCACTTTCGTGCATTTTTACTTTGGGATCTGTGCACAGTCAACATGTTTAATACAGCCTATACATGAGTAACATCTTTATATTTGGATGACCCTGTTTTGCTTCTTAAAAGTGCCCGAGGGGATAGTTTAACTTTGTGGGTAAACAACCCTCACCGTCTACCGACTAACATTCTCACTAAAATTGCTGTATACTTACCCTGTGCTGATTATGTACTTCTGATTATATTATTTTCTTTGAAAAACAGAGAGGCAATGGATAAACTGCACCAAAATGGGACGTAAAAACGCTCTTCACACTGTTATGTGTTAAAAACCGAAGAAATGATCTGTGTATATTTCTCCTATATCCACACGTTAAAAGAGAACAACGATGAAACCATGCGCAACGTATACCCAAGATAATATATATCGATAGCCACGTGCTTTGTTTTTTTCTTTTTTTCTATCTAGAAATCAAAAAGAATGAGATATAATTGGGGGCAACTAAGACGGTATATTCCTGGTTTGTCGGCTCATTAATTTTTTTCCTGACTCGTCGACAACATTTTGGGGGGAGATGAAAGATGTTTGTGAGCCGTCGACGAAATAAAAAAATGAATTAACATGTCGATGAATCGGGACTGAATCAACTAAGACAGCTAACTAAAGCAAAAACTTACAAGATCAAACTTAAAATCATTTCTGAATCAACCTTCACTTTAAATTCTACCTTATGATTAATTTACTTACGTCGGGAGTCGCGCTAAGGCTATCATAAAATTCTCTTATGAGAGTAAAAATTAGCTGAGCGAGGGGCTAATTCGCGACTTAGTTCTCTTATCGCCAGTCCCAATAGCGAGTGATCGCGCGACGTTAACACTCAAACGCAATTTCTATAAGAAAAAATTGTCGCGACGCGACAGCAATTAGCAAATTAGAAATTACGACGCGAGTTCGCGTATTAGCAAATTAGGAATTTTTGGAAAAAGAAGAATTCATCGCAATCGCGTCGCAACATCGAGACTTGAAGGGATCCTATCAAAATTAACAAGGCGCGATCGCGGCACGGTGTTAAAGCCGAACTAGAAACATTATCCTGCCGAGAGTAGCCATTATTATTACAAGTGGATGTAACGTTTGAGGTAAATTGGAATGAACTACCATTATTAGTCTTTGGTAGTAGTGATTCCAATCGTCATTCCCACCCTTATGATGTTGCAGAAACATCGCAAGATGGTGTTTCCAGTGAAAATGATCTGATATTGAGAATGACATTTGTACGTTACAACTTGCATTCTATGATGGTGTATTTGATGTGAGAATAAAATTGTTGTTAAGAAAATGGAGACATGATTCGGATTTGCTTGTATTTGCTAAATATTTTGAAGAATATTTAGGTGAATGGGTGAATGCATTGACATTTTGGTATGAAGGCGCAGCAACAGTGAGTGATTAGGAGATTTTCTTCTGTTGTATTCGCATCCATCTTCATACTATGATACACACTAAAAAAGAATGTCTCTTACAGTAAGACACAAATCGGATAGCAAAAGGGTGCTTTAAAAGGTCTTCATGTGTCTATCAAGTGTAGACAGTTGAGTGTGTCTTCTGGAAGGCATCAAACAAAAAGGAGATATACCGGTCCAGCTGAGCTTAGAACTCGCTATTCTTATTTTTTTGATCGCTATAAGATTCAAGAAATAAGACGCATTTTTAGCGATCCCGATTTTGTAGCGATATACAAGAAAAAGGACTACATATTCGCTATTGTTGCTATGTGCTCTTGCATATGGTCAGTAACATTCGCGTCGTCGCGTCGCGATTCTTGTCTTTTGGCTACTACCACGACGTGTGACAGCACGACTCTCTTTTTGTCGCCACATGATTCTTGGTGCTTTCGCGATTATTGCGTTTTTAAGAGTCACACCGTGATTTTGTACTTACTCGTGCATCGTGAAGCTTTCTTAATTGATACTGTTTTCTGTAAACTATAAAATCGGACTGTCAATTATACACTACAAGTAATAGTAATGGGTGCGCCAGAAATAATGTTCCTCTCCGTATTTTCTCAATATCTCGGTCAAGGTTGATCCCCAAGTCTCAATCTTTTTTTTAAAAGACTCATTCAATTCTCTACACACAAAAAAAGTTCGCTATAAGCCTTTTTTTCTCTCACGAAGGGAGATTTTGCTAAAAGTAAAAAGCAGGGTAAATTTGATTTCTTCGCCTTGGTACAGGAAACGAAATGGGGCTATTCGACTTTCTCTGGTCGGATGTAACAGAAAAATTATTTGGTTTTAAGATAAACTAGATTTGACGTGATAATGTGTGGTTTTCACCGAATCATACAAATTTGCTTAAGCGCCTCAAAACTGCAGTTAGAAAATGATGTTGTTGGGCAAAATCGCTAAAAGAATAAAAATCCTCCTTGACCGCTTGAGCCTATGAAGAGTCTTAAATATAACCAGTTGATAGAGCTTTTCGAGAACTACAAAATGACCATTTTCTCTTTTTTTATACCGCAAAATATAAGGGACTGAAATTGAAAAACCTGTTTTTTTGAGTTTGAAAGCAATCGGTATTGAAGCTTTCCCTTATTTCCTCTATATTTTTTTATTCTTATAGTATATGAAGAAATGTTCAATATATCTTGTGTAGAGAATTGAATGAGGAATCTTATAAAAAAGGATTGAGACTTGGCGATCAACCTTGACCGAGATATTGAGAAAATACAGAGATGGACATTATTTCTGGCACATCCGTTAATATCAGCCTTTGGCAAAGTAGTTTGAAAACACAATCTATTGATGAATATATAATTATTTTATGATTGTATATTCATCAATTACAATGTCAAAACTTACTGTAGCGTGTAAGAGCAAAAGCCAAATTAGCTCATAAGCTCATCTTGCTTATTCCCTGTGAATCTACAAAGATTAAAACAGAAATAAAACAAAAATCTATAATTGGCTTAGAGTACATCGAACTGATATCACGAACACATTTAAATAAAAAGCACTTAGTTGTTATCCTTATCGGACGCTGTTGCAAAAATAACATTCATTTCTGTTAAGATATCGAACGGAATCGCAAAAAAACTATTTCATAAAATAAAAAAAGAAATATTGTTGTTTTGCACAGGTTGTGTCTCAAAATCCTCCGTCCATACATCTTTTTTTGCTCAATTCTGATCCAACATCGAAGAAGAATTCGATTAATCAGTTGGAATGAGCAGCGACGTACTGATGCATCATCTGGGTTTTTGTAATAAGGAGACGCCTGTCATAAGTAAAGGATACCTTCATGCTCGGTCTTACATCTGACGTCTGGAAATCTAGCGCTAGGTCCTTCTCGTTTTCTACCACCATTCTATATGCTGTATGATGACGTGAGCTATTTAATGCCCCATACGATGACCCTCTAGCCCTCGGTGCATACATAGAACCGAGCAGGACTTCTCTCCCGAATGTAAGATTCAACGATAGGGCGATCCTACTCCCAGGTTAATCACAATTTAAGATATAATACAGCTACGCACAACCTTTTACACAGATCGATGTGTAGAATTGAATATCATACAGTGCGAAAAACGGAGTTAAACTTTGAAATGGGCAAAATTTCTTAGAAAAAAAACAAAGAAATGACCAAAACAAATAAAAACTAGATTGTGATTAAGCTATGCACATGTTGCAGTCTGTTGACAGACGCTTGTCTATACTTGAGCTGCATAGAATCCTAGCTGGCTTCCTACACTATACTTTTCTTTTTCAACTGCTTTTTAAAAGGGTGAAAAGAAAAAATGAATTAAGAATCAAAATTGAAAAATAGAGAAAGACAGATGCTTTTTTTTTCAAAACAAACGATGCCAGACAACTAACTTCTATCAAAAATTTCTAAGATCAAACGCTATAGTTCTTCCACTTATGGCGTCTAACTGAGATTGTTATACAGAAAAGTGATGAAGATAGTCAATCTTTAGGATGTAAAGAACATATCTCGTTTTCAGTATCTCACTACGTGGCTTAGTCCTGCAGAACGGGTTGTGCGCGTTTCTGGTAAATGTGACCAACAAAAATTCTATCTTTCTCCGTGAGTGAATAGTATTTCAATCTTTTCAATAATGGTTTAGACTAAATTACATTTTTAATGAACTCAGAAACGTTTTTTATTTTTCCTGAAGTATCAACTTTTCACAAAACCTTTATAGAGGAATTAACCATTATACTTTCTGAAAAAACAAAAAAAGTTTCTGACGAGGAAACCTCACCAACTGATACCCTCTGTTTAAGCTCATACTCTGCTCATAGGTAGGACTCATAGTGTAGATAAAAACTCTAAAAGGATTCATCCCCTTGACTCTTGAAGACCTGGTTTTCTGAAAAAACA